AAATAGGATGGTACAGCAGTTCACGGCTCCCAGGTTTTCAGTGGTAGTCTAACATCAATCTGTTCACGATCACAATTAAAAAAATAATAATGTAGGCAAGCACATACTAAGAACGTTCTGTTGTATGATAATAAAAGTATTATAATATTGTTCTATGTCACATTCTTCAGTGTTTAATATTTAGTCCAGATACCGTATTTGAACGATAAACAGGGTTTCTTCTCAGCTTTTACATTTTCATTCGGCATGCTGAGTAACAAATAAAAATGCATATCAACATGCCGAAAAACTGCCTTCGATTTTCATTCGTTCGTCACATATTGTTGATATTGTTGTACTGTTTTTGGGTTTATTAGGAATAATCAGGCTAGAAAATAAGTATGCAGCAGAATGGATTTTAGATCTCTTCAAAAGTAGGTTTACATGTATAGATATGTATTTATCTATTCTCAATATTTAATAAAATATAAATAATAACAACTCACTAACAACTTCGCTCAACATGTAATTTAAACTATTAAAACTGTGTCCTGGGAGTTGAAGTGAATAGAATTAGTGGTCTAGGTGGGAGACAGTGAATGATATTTGGATAACAATGCAATTGATAGCTAACAGTCAGGCATTGTCTGCAGTGAGTGTAACTGATTGAGCACAGTCTGAACAAGGGAAGACGAGAAGTTCAGAAGAACTGTCACTTTGTTCTGTATTAAATTATCGTATGGAACTCAAACTTGTCCATTTTGACAACCATCATTATTAGGTGACTGCTATTTGTTAAATGTCAATTAATGTGCTGTAAATCTTTCGACGAGAAAGAATAACCTTTCATCGTTTGTGAATGTTAACCAGTCAACAAGGAATCATGAATAAGAGTGATGAGTAGTAATTAGCATAAGCTGAAGAGACGTTACCAAGACAGAGTTGATTGGAGATACTTGGTCAGTTGTCTCTGTTCCAAGTAAGGTGATCGTTCTATGTACGAACCTTAAGAACTGTATATTTTCGCAACAGCACTTGAACTGCTTGGTTCGCAAAATAGCGGGGAATAAATAAATGAAAACAAGCATATGACTTTACCAATAATACCATACAAAATGTCATGTTTGCGTTTGAACAAACGATTTGTAAATGGATTATATTTTAAATGCACTGTGTAGAAGCTAGCAAACATGTAATATGGCTTGATTCTTGAGATGAATTACAACTGTTAAACACATTAAAATTAGTGCTATAGAATGATTGAGTAATAGTTTACTGAAGTACAACACCACTTCAGATCTGAAGACTAATACTCGAGTACTTTTTATTAATTACAGATATCATTCCAAATGATCGTGATTTACTGCAGACGTACTCTGGTGGGTCGGTACATTTTGTTTGTATTTCGCATTTATAACAAGTGAATACCGGTGACAAGTCGGATTTATTTTTGAAAAACTCGCATTCACTCATATTCACTGTTATACAGTTTGTCCACGATTTTACCAAATAGATAATTTCGAGATAGGTAGAATGAAGTAAATTTTAGCGTTGGTGTATCCACTGAGGTAGATGTGTGCCCAATTCATGGAACTGTATCACATCAACATATACCGTGTAATATTGAGGATTGATGTTATTTCTACACGACTCAAATTTCAATACTATTTTATAGTTAAGCTAGGAATAACCCGGCTTGTAGTTGTTCCAGGGTCATTGCTGTTTCAAAGGTAATGTAAAGGAGGAGTGATGGTCTTGATGTCAGTAGCTCCGTTCTCGATGAAATGGTTTTGCTCTTAAGAATGTCAACCAAGTAAAAAATGATGAAGTCATTTAAAATTTGTCTTTCGTATTTGAAGAACAATTATGACGCCTCATAATGAGATCCTAGGTTCTTCCTAGTTCACGCAGGCTGTGTTGCCTCCAACAATCGGAACAATAATTATTATTGATACATGGAACGTCCGGACAATGTGTCAGGCCAGGAGTGCCAGTCTAATTGTTGTGGTAATGTGAAGTGGAACTCGTTACACTTATTGTGGACCGGAATTATTAGATTGAGGTATATGCTTCTGTATTGTAATCACGAAGACGTAAATGCAATACACACACAGTCAGTTGCTCTGATACCATCCAATAAAGCACGAAAAGCACCAATTGGATGGGAATCTCATCGATCCAGAATCACTACTGTATGTTTGAAAACAAAGAGGGAGGGAATTACAATGAATATTATCTAAATGTTATGCAACAACCAATGATAGCAACGACGACGATACGGATCAGTTCTGTGAGAGGTTGCAATCAATCGTAGCGAAGAGGACAGGACTATCCTAATTGGAGACCTAGACCTAGACAATGATTATGAAGATAATATTTGACGACATGGACTAGGAAAAGGGAACGAGAATGTGGAGAAATTCGCTAATATATGTTCAATCAACAAAATGTTTACAGGTGACACAATATTCCCACACAAACGCATGCACAAATCTGTATTGGTCTCACTGGAGCAAAATCGATCACACTTTTATCACTGAAGAGTTCAGAAGGTAAACGGAAGATGTGAGAACCATGAGAGGAGCTGAAACAACTTCCGATCACCATCTGGTTGTGGCAGAGATCTAGTGGTAACTCTATAAATTGAATTCCCGTTTCATGAAATGCTTACTATTAATCAAAAAATGTCGCATTTCGTTGTATTCATGAAATATTTTGGCGAATAGTTCATTAAAACGAATATCTATGTTACCACTTTTACCAGAAAATTATAAACGAGCATCAGAAATGAGTCCAAATCACGATGATTATTGTAAGTTTTAAACACAAATACTTATAACAAAGGCGTTTTTGTGGAGATTTAGTAATTTTATAGTTAAGATCATGAGTCAATTGAAGCTAGACCACCATCGAATACCTGGAAACACTGGACAGGCGTTTCGTCTTATTATGGGACTCCTCAGCAGTGCACATCCACGACGCCCCACTTGCGAGATTCGAACCCAGGACCTACCAGTCTCGAGCCAGAGCCCTTAACCGATAAACCACCGAGCTGGCATCCAACGGTGTTAATGTCTAACCTCGACCAATCCACGAAATTGCGCGACCAACTTCCAATGTACTGAGGTAGATACCTGTCTCTACCTGACATAGATTAGCTCCACTGGCCACGACTTCTCACTAGAACTCCAGGAATTACCTTATATTATAATTTCGTGGTTACTATACATTATGTACATAAGTCCGATGTATGTATGAAAATTTTCAATGTCTGACATCGACATGTTTAAGATTTGAGATGAAACGTGTCACAAACAACTCGTCACTGTTTTCAAATGTGGAACAATGTGGTCAAATATGAATCATTGCAAGGAATAAGTAAATGACAACCGTAAATTGATAATTATGTGAGTTGTATGGTAACGTTTATAATAATGTTGTCATGGATTAAAACAGGCAGCCTTATTTATATTCTAACAACGATAATATGTGTCAGCATACTCTTACTGTTGTTGTTTTCACTGATGAGGATGGTGTTCGTCTGTGCTTGTTTGTTTGTGGTAATATGTATGTGGCAGTGAAGTTTGTGTGCAATGTGAATGTGTGATGTTAGATAATGTGGATAGGTATATTGTTCTTTGGATCCTAATCAGTGGTTGGAGACTCTGTGTGACATGTTTCAGAATCGACCATAATGGTGTCGGTGTAAACACTCCCGGTCTTCCTTTAAACTGTGGGATTAAAATTGTTTAAACCTTTTTCTCTACCAACTAATTCTTTTTCCTCCTACTATATCCTGTTACACAATCTTTCATATATATTACTACTGTTCAATTAACAACTATGTATTCGGTGTTCATCTTGTTGTGCGAATGTGGTGCGACAAATTTGACCGATGAATAAATGTGCCTGGTCCTACTTTGAACCTCTCTGATTGACTAGTTCTTGATGGATTTTATTGCAGCTTACTTAAATATAATTGGTAATAATAATCAATGTGCCACATTCCACTAATGTTTTCTTTTCTCACTAATCTGTTTTAGACTATGATTCAGTAGAATTTGCAATAAGGATAAAGTGGAATGCGAGATTAAATTTCGACTTAGCAACTAGTAGGTTTGAGAAGAAAATCTTTGTTAAATTACACAATCAGTAATGAGGCCCACATGAACAATAAAGTAACTATATCAATCCATTATATCTACGAATGAGTAAACTTACAATATATATATTTATTATATGTATATGCATATTCCACTAAATATCGGTGCTGATCAACAAGAAAATAGATTGTATTAGGCTAACATGATATTGTTTGTTCAGTAGTCTTTACAATAAGATATATAGTTTCATTCTCTTGAAGTCAATTTCATGCACTGATAACGGACAGTCGTCGAGGCTTCCACCTAAAAACTGGTCAACAATGTCCTTCATGAAAACACGTTCACATTGGAATAGGAGCCAGACAACAATCTATCGTTTTTCGATATATTATTCACCAGAACCGACACAGGAAAGCTGGAGAGCCAAGTATATATTGAACCGACTAACACATAAAAATCTTCGAGTTTATTCGTTGCATATTTAATAAGTATTATTTAAATATGATAAGTCGTCCAACGGGTTGTTAGATGCGGTTCTCAAGCTTTTCTACTAATCGATAATCTAAACATACACAGTGATGTGAACACGAGAGGAAAGATGTTCAATATTGAAGAAAAACGTTGCTCCAATGGTTTGTCTAAATACAGAAAATCTAAGCATTTTATAGTATATAAAATGGCCTTGGGTTTCCGGAATATTGTGCAGATCAGATAAGATACGTCTCAGTGTTTTCAAAGGCACTCTAGACTTTTCTCAAACAGTTTTGAGGATCTCCGTAATTTTAATGTCATACTAGAAGTGACATTTTGAATAGTTCCAACCGTTGAACTTATAAATTGAAAAACAGTTTATACATACACTTACAAATTCATATTGATTGTTATTGTTTTCTCTTTCATGTAGATAAATATTTGAGCATGTTAGCTTCAACTAAAAATTCATCTTTGACAGCATGTAACGGTGAGTACTTGACATCTCTTTTGAGAATAAAGTTATAATAATCAATATTGAATAAGATATCCATATGTTAATAATAATAATAATAATATTAATAATAATAATAATAATAATGTTATCTCTGGCGATTAACCATCGATATTTAATTGAATACTGTGTGATATCATCCAGTAAATTTGCTATTATACAAGTATAGACGGACCTTACATACATGACATTGGTTACCATCCAGTGATCAAACAATTGTTCATGCATTTTAGTTGTACAGAAGGTCAGTCGTGACCCGGATAGCTCAGTGGTAACGTCTATGATTATGAAGGTGGTTGACACGGGATGAAATCCGTCAGGAGCACCAGTTCCCTCCAAATTCATGCGAACCTCGCTCACAAGTGTCAAGTAGCATGAAAACTAGGTAAGGGGTTCCCTGTTGACTACTTCCAACCACCATCTCATCTCAATATAAAGCACGCAATGTTGAGTCAATAAGACCAGTAGCCACATTGCAACGTCGTCCATTAGATTCGATCTGTACAAAGAAGGACATGACATTGATCAACACCCAGTGATCGATAAATTGTAAACAAGTAAATAGTGATTGTATGATTCGTGGTTCCGTACAAGTTCTACAAGTTCATTTTGAAACCTATTATAATGCTAAACAGTGAACAGTTTAACGTTTAACAATGGAGACTACACTATAATTTCATCGTTAAGAATGTTTCTGGTTTACACTTGTGATCGATTGTGACAATGATGATATGAAATCTGAAGAATATGGCAAATGATGACTGATTGCTAAAAGTAGGGAATCCAGTTAAGATTCACAAAATAACACATCAATTTTGTGGCAGTGATTAATGCTATTTCACATTTGAATCATTATTATGAATAGATTAGGCTATCGAACGTTTTCTAAAATGTCAAGTAGGTCAGGTTGAGAATAAGTATGTATCTAGTCGTCAATGATTTGATTGATTTTATCTCATATCTCCAACTGTGTGTTGTAGAGAAAAAAAGAGTTTTATTGGTAACTTGTAGATTATTCTATAAAATTTTGCATGCGCTCCACAGTAGATAGTTTATTGTTAGCAATGACTTTGACAATGTCCATCTCCATTACACGGCTAAATGTGGGTTACAAATTAGTTTGATGAATATACCTTGTGATTCACAGTTGACGGTTAATGTTAGGAATTAGATTTCCGGTTTTCATCAAGAAGTGACATCAGCTCAATTACCAACACCATATTAAGCCGAACGGATGAATGAATTACACGCCAAATTCCATTAACTGTTATTCCAAATCAATGTAGTATTTTCATAAATGATAGTCTTGCCAGGTTGTCCAAATGATTCTGTGTGTTATTCAATACTTTTGTTGGTTGAATTAGTAATCGGATTTCATTTTTATTCTACTAAAGGGAAGTCGCTTTCTGAAAGAAAAATGAGTCTGCAACAACTGGAAAAAGAATATAAATTGTCTAAATGTATGTTCAGCATAGTTTCATTAAAGCAGATCACTTGTGTGAAAAAATTAAATAATATTGATTCATAACCTGGTTTGCATAGTCAATTTTGTAAGCTGAGAATGATGATTGTTCATTAAGTGCTGTCATTCTCGATGGTAAGTGGTACGACTAGATAAGGAGCTAAAAGCTGTCTGTGCAGCATCTTGACAATGTGGATATGTCACAAACACTTTCAAAATGGATGATTTTCAGGAAATCGGTATTGCATCATCTATCAGATATCAGGCGAGTTTGCACAAAGTTCAATAGTTAATGGTAAATTTGGGCGCACTTCAATGTAAAACTTCATTTAATTAAACGGTTAGTACAGCACTAATGTCAACTAAATCATTTTAGATTCAGTTTAAACACGGATACAAATGAGACTAGTCAGTAATATTCCGTACAAAATTTTCATGAAAACAATCTCATTTACCAGATTAAGTTGCATAATTGAATAATATGCGAAGAAACGAATTACTTCCACTTTATGTAGAATACAATTTTAAGCACCACCATTAATTCGTAGACATATTCAATGCTCTGTTGTGTATCACTAAATGAAACGGAATGAAATACTTTATTCCGAATGATAATTCGGATTCAGCATTGATGAATAACCAGAGAGTGGTTTTGTGGACATTATAGTCCTTTCTAATAGTTGAATTCATGAGTCAGTTGAAGATGGAGCATGATGAAAAACTTGCTGATTATGTTTAACGAATAAGAGTTTGTGCTGAATAGCGCTATTCATACATTATGTTATACACATGTGGAGAGATGTATCATGATAGAGACATTTATATCGACATTACTAATAGTAAAATTTAATTGATGTCTTTAAATAAAACAGTATCCTGTATGACGATCTTCACAGTTGTCTCATCTTGATTTCCTTTCAACTGAAGCACGTATTAGAACCTTATACAATAAAGTGATTCAAACAGGAGTTACCTATAGAATTGTTTACGGTGGGTTTCAAATCCAGTGTCTTGTATACATATCTTTCAGTGAATATATTAAATTCTAACTTCACAGTGACTATACAATATGACTGTACTTCTTAAGTAGATGCTACCAATACATGTACAGTCTAAGTACACAAATTTTCATTCACTAGTTAACCAAAAAGTGATAACGAGCAAATTACAGCTTTCTCACCAACAAATCAGGTATTAAAATGGTGAAATATCTGATGATTTTCAACTTCATTGACTAGTAGATTTGGTATTTAAAGTAACAGATAATAAGATGATGGACCGTGAGAAGATTGACACCAGGATCCAGGTCCGACTAACTAGCAAGTCTCAAATTGAACCCACCATTACTTCTGAATTGAGTTCACTACATTCTATCTCGTTCATCAATCGTGCTTTAATCGGGTTTATGAATGCGAAAGAGTGTTTGAATTGTTGGAGTTTTTGAAGTGAATATAACTACGGATAAATATGAAGTACGGATTATACCCAACACAGAATCATGTTGGATCATGTTACATTTGATGGAATATCATTTAGAAAGCTTGTTAGATTGACAAATTATTCCCGTCTTAGAAATGTTCAACATATTTGAAATGATATAAATTTATGGATCGATAATGCGTTGAACTGGTGGAGTTTGTCCAGTATACCAAATCATTCTAACCGTTTAATGACAACTTATATCCTTCGTAAATGTAACTCAAACAATTGAATGAAATGGTAATATAACTGACTTCAATATCGATCTTTTGTTTATATTTACTGATAATGCATTTTCTCTTTTGAATACAAAAATAGAATCTGTTGAGAAGAATTTATGGAAATCGAACCCAAAACGTGAGATTTATGAGACATATTAATTGATTTTTAATACACATTTATGCATGAGAACTTACTGTATGTTTTAGTAACCGAATGATTCCTAATTTCAATGTTCATTCAATCAAATCATCAGTATAGTCTTATTTCTCCCAATTATTCGATCAATCATTTGATTGATCATCTAATAATCATCATGGAATGATGTAATTATTACTTCATTATTACGTCACTACTGAATCAGTAATATGTCACTATTGCAAATCATAATTATGTTTATAAGTTTTCACAGTTGAAATCATGAGTCGATTGTAGCTAGACCACCATCGAAAACCTGGAAGCACTGGACGGCCGTTTCGTCCTATTATGGGACTCTTCAGCATTGCGCATCCACGATCCCACACTCGCGAGATTCGAACCCAGGACCTACCAGTCTCGAGCTGAGGCCCTTAACCGATAGACCACTGAGCCGGCATCCAACGGTGTTAATGTCTAACTTCAACCAATCCACGAGTGCGTGATCGTGGATGCTCACTGCTGAGGAGTCCTATAATAGGACGAAACGGCCGTCCAGTGCTTCCAGGTTTTCGATGGTGGTCTAGCTTCAATTGACTCATGATTTCAACTGTGAAAATACTAAATTCTCCACAAAACCCCCTCTGATCTATAGCTTTTCAATCATGATGCAAATCTAATTGTACGAAAATTTCCTTTATCCATTCATCTATGTACCAAATATCTACCATATGAGAATTTCCATTATACTGAACTTAGTATTGATTGAGCAATGATTAGACAGGTAACTTTGAATGGAAGAATTTTTGTAGTTCAAAGGACATTTTGAACTGTAAATAAACTCGTTGCTTCAAGAGTGTTGGGTTGATCGATAATTATTAGATGGACTTTTTAGATCCTGAAGGAAATTGCTTACGTAGTTCCTGTCAAACATTCAGTTAAGTGAAGATAGATAATGGCTACAAGTGGAATCCAGTTTGATGCGCGTTTCGTCTCATCTGGAACACATCATCCGTATGAATCTTCATTTCAGAATTGATGTTCAGTGTGAGACTCGAAAAGAGTACCGTTCGCTTCAAACGCTATCGCGTTATCCATTTAGCTACTCAGTTCTGATAGGCGCTTTTTTGTGCAATGGTGTGAAGGTGAACTTTCCTTATTCAACGTTTTTTCCAGTTTTTATGTATTTTTGCTTGTAAAAACTTTTCTTATAAGATTTAATCGATTATCATCACGTGTGACGATATGTTGTTTGGACATTTAGAGGAGGTTCACACGTTATGTATAAATTTCATCATTTGAACTGAGTAATATTTTTAGATACGAGTATTTACTTACTTACTTGCTTTCTTGCTTACTTATTTACCCACTGACTAACTCCTAATAATCTTATGCAGCATGTGCTGTCAACCATCATTCTTCTACATACACTGTCATGGGTCTTCTTTTCTACTTCTATGCAGCTGTTATTCATTCTTCTGGTGTCTGTTTTCATTACGTGGCGTTATGTGTTGTTTCATCTTCCTCTTCTCCATTGACCTTCAAGATTCCACGTAACAGCTTGACTTGTGATGCAATTAAGTGCTTTCCTCAGTGTGTATCCTATCCACTTCCAGCGCTTCTTTCTGATTTCTTTCACATACGAGTATTTGGATTAAAACAAATCATCCATCTAGACATATGAAATCAGATATTCTAGTGAGAGTTGTCTCGCATTAAAGTTAACTGTAATAACAATTTATTGTTTATTATCCACGTATCACATTCTGTACATGGTTATGTTTTACTCATCACTCACTGAATCACTAATGTGAAATAATAATCTTTCATTAATTCTATTTCAGTTCATAATATGCAGAATGAGGTCAATGAATTGAAAGAGATACGCAAAGACTTAATGCGTTAGTTATAATGTCTTTAAATGCATTCACGTTTGAATAATGTAATAGTGTAATATTTGAATTCATGAGTCACTTGAAGTTGAAACACCATGGGAAACCTCGCAGCACTGGAAGGCTGTTTCATCTTAGTACAAGACTTCTCGTCTGTGCATATTCACGATCTCACCACGCGAGATTCGAATACATTATTACATTATTAATGAAATAGATATTACATATGATGTAATAATAAACTATCAAGTCTAACCTTGGTGTTGATACACATGGTGTGAATTTCAATAATATATGCGACTGATCTAGTTGTTTCTATAAGTAATAAGGTTAGATTTATTGGAATTGATAATGACTATCCAACGTATTACATATTAGTCTGATGAGTATCCATCTGCTATCATTATTTTAGGGGATTTAGTACAAACTGAAAAAGAAGCTAGAAACACATCAGGTATGTTGAAAATTAGCCAAATGTCTTCATACAATTACATTCATTTAAACAACTGCTTTATGTCTGAATATGTTAACATTTATTCTTTGTTTATTAGATTCAAACAAACGAGGTATTTTAGAACGTGAAATAGAAGATCTTATAAATGGAATAAATGCCTTGGAAGGTGAATATTGATTTTATTAGATGATTGGTTATCATATTATTGTCCAACACTTTTTTTATCATATACGCATAGTGAGTTCATGTAAGAAAGGAAAAGAGTCATCCAATTTGTACAATTGAATAAATATTGAACCATCACTGTAAGCCTGAAAGCATTGAACAGCCATTTAGCAACAGTATGGTACTCCCGCGTTTTATGGGAGAGGACAAATCAGCTTCCAGCTGAAGAGGAAATTAGGAAAAGACGTTGGAAGTGGATCGGACATACATTGAGGAAACCACCAATGTGCATCACGACTCAATCCCTAACTTGGAATCCGGAAGGGAAGCGGAAGAGAGGAAGGCCAAAGAACACACTACGCCGGGAAATAGAAGCCGATATGAAAAGGATGAATAGCAACTGGAAAGAACTGGAAAGGAAGGCTCAGGACAGAGTTGGATGGAGAATGCTGGTGAGCGGCCCATGCTCCTCGACGAGGGGTAACAGGCGTAAGTAAGTAAGAAAGTAAGTAAGTAATGGTACTCCCGCGTGTGGGATCGTAGATGCGCAATACTGAAGAGTTTCATAGTGGGATGAAAAGAGCGTTCAGTTTTTCAATGTTTTTAATGTTTGTCTAACATTCATGCATATAATGACACCAAATGAAATTCAATATTCTTGATAACCTTAAGTAATTCATTCTCTCCACTTTGAACTTTTGAAAATATCACATTAGAGAAATTACGAGAGTGTGAAAAGAATTTGGATGACGTTCATGATAATTTGCTTTCTGGTAAGCATTGATTACCGAATTGTGAAGAAAATGATTTTATATTCCGCGGGACTAAATACAGTTTTGGCATTAAAGCTAAATTTGTTGATATAAGTCCACCTAAAGTTTGTGTTGATGATATTGCTCAGTAGAACGATGAAAGCTCCACAACCAATCCATCCAGCTCAGAGAAACAAACTCCATCAAAACCATCGACCTGAGCTGCAAATCACCATCTCATAAGAGCTGTTGACAGCTGCTGATGAAAATCCGAAACCTAATTTCTAACCTTCATCATCAACTGTAAATCATAATTATAAATTCTGACACAAGTTTATAACCCTAATTTGATCCTAGTTATTAGGTGGACACTCTCAGGGTCAGTCTAGCGTTTCTCAATGGTCGTCCATAAATTATAGTCTCATTGAGTAATATAACAAGCATCATAATAACCTATGTGTTTACTGTGTTTATAATTTATAGCAAGTCCGGAGTTAAAAGCTGCAGAAGAAAGAAACCTTGATACCTCCGATAAGTATTTCAATGCGTTAAGTAAGTTTTCTACAAAAATACCAGTGAAATCAGTATGCGATTCTAAAATGTTTGAAGAAAATAGTATCATCAGAGTATAAGCAAAGATTGATAATGACTATCAGTGGAATCCAGTTTGATGCTTGTTTCATTCTATTAGAGGCTCTTCGGCTGAATGTATCTACATCTCGTAGATGATGTTCAATCTGAAACTCGAACCCAACACCTAACTCTTCAAATACCATCACGTTTATTGTACTTGAAAGCAATTTGAAACTTTTACTCAACAATGCCCCTTTAAAACACTCAATCACTGATTATCCCTTAAAATTATGCTTCATGAATTGGTTAATTTAGTACTTTATACACTTATAGTCCGAGTCTGTTAGTTTTTGAATAACATTTTTGATCAATTTTTGTTCTCAATGGTTGTAAAGATGATCACCTTGAAATATTGAAAAATCTGGAAATTCGAAGAATAGATGTCCTTGAATGTAAGTCGATGTAATGGTCTCATATTAATTGACTAATTTATGAAGTACTTTCATCGAAAAAAAGAATACAAATGTACGAAAGTATACTACATGAAGAATGTAAGTACATTTTCATTAGTGATTCTATTACGTAATGTGGAAATGAACACGTAATTGTAATTGTCCTATTTACGAATCATTGCGAATAATATGAATGTTTTTCTTTTATTTCAGTAAACTCAATTTAACAACCAAAAAGTCTAAGTGATCACCATGGTAATGTTTTCCACTCAGTGTAATCATCATCAACTATTCTCTGTTTAGTGTACAGGTTGTGTTGATGTTGTTCTTGGAATAAAACGTAAATAGAATGAATGTATGTAGGTCCGTAAATCGTTAGTGTAATGAATGTATCTATTTCCAGAACAGTAGATTTCTCGGAATGAACTAACTTAAAATCAGACACTACTTTGTCCACTCAATAAACCATCAAATCATATCGCGTCAGATAATTCAGACTTACTGAGAGTTGAGCAGTCAATGTGCATTCTCGATCCAGATTGTTTGGAATTAACAGGTAATCAGAGGATGGGTGGAGCTCGATCCGATCTTTCCTCCAGATGTTTTAGTAATTAGCCCGAAAGCTTTTATAAGTTAATTCATCTTCTAAGATTACTTGGATTCTATGAGACATTTCATCGCTCTTGAGACCTATCGTAATGGGTTCATCTGATCTTTTCTGAATTTCTCATTTACGTTAGTGGTAGGTGTCACTGATGCATTTTTGGTTGTTTACAAGTGGTTACAAAAATCTTCACGACTAGCTGTTTCTCCATAAAGCTTAAGTTGATCTTCTTTGAAACAACTCTAGAATTCTAGTTAGTGAAACTCAATAAATTATTTGATTATGCAGATAGAATAACATAACTTACCGAAAGTGTTTTCAACTATCCGTGTTCAATTTCGATTCAGAGACAATATTTCAACGTACATTAACTATCCATCCATCAGACCATCAAAGACTTGATAGTGTAGCATGTGCTCATATTATTATTGGATGATGAACATTCTACTTTTCATGGTGCACTGCATGAAACTTTATTCATAAACATTATATCTTAAGTAGACAATTGATAAAAGACTCTACTTAACATGATGTCGTTAAGGTAACGACGTTCATACTAATAAGCAACTAATATTTTAGAATGTTACAAATTGAATTCTCTGGTTGTCAGAAAGTGTATCAGCCTTGTGACTACGGAAGGAACTCAGCTTTCAACATGAGACGTCATAACTCTTCTTAATGAAGACCTTCTAATTACCAAAACATATTTTAGGTGGTTTTCAGCTAATTGGTTGTTAACCCCATGCTTACTCTCCTCTTTTATCCGGGCTTATTACCGGCTCCTGAGCGGCTTCAGGTGGAGTTACAAATGTAATGCGTTTTGTACGATGTACGTCAGCCTTAAAATAGTTCAAGCTGTTTAGTAATTTGAATATAAAATAGTATTCAGTTGTCATATGGTAAATATATTCAAATATTGTTTTTTGCAGAGTGCAATGTCAATAGTTTTTTTTTATAGGAAACCAGAATCATGTATGAATCAATACCCGAACAAAATATTGTTCTCAAACTGTTTTATTAAATAATCTGTTCACGCTTTTGTTAATTGAAAAATTAAAAACTGTCATTGTTCATTTACTTCGAGTATTTTTTCGTCAAATTAACATTGTGTATGTTTGACAGATTTTGCAACTGTTCAAATTATTAGCAAAGACGGATAGTGGCTGGCCGTGGAATCCAGTTTGACGCAGGTTTCGTCCAATTTGTGACTTGTCTTCTGGATGTATCTGCTTCTCAGAATTGATGTTAACTGTGGGACCCGAACACGGTACCTTTAAATATTTTCTAATGATAATAAATTATCAAACACTATAATTAATTCAACCGAGTTGGTTTTGAGATAGTTACATGGTTGGTAATTGATATAATCCTTAAACTTCGTAAACAAACCACATAATGTTCTCAACAGTGAATAAATCAGAAGACGATCGTGTTTATAATAGCACCACGCACAAATCACAAAAATCACAGACACTTGAATCAATAATGAAAAGCTTTTTCTGAAAAGCAAGCGAGTGAGTGAGCGTGCGAGTCGAATGAACGAATCAGTGAACAGCAGTAATATATATAGGGAAATGAACGAATCACTGATTCAATTAAGCGATTAACATAAAAGCTAGCAGACTATGTGCGTTGGCTGTGGGCAGTGTTCAAGAGCAACAATAATGACGTTACAATAGTATAGATAGATTGTTGATGTACGACTGACTCTGTCCGTTAATTTTGTTAACAAAAGGGCCTAATCAAATCAAGTGTGAACAAACTCAAACGTACGTGAGCTGCTGTAAACTCACTGAAAGCAAAAATGGATGGTGATGCGATACCGTAGATTGTTTGGAGTTTAACATTTATAAGCGAATAATATTCCTCATTAGGCTCTACTATATTAAACATTGATATATATATGTATATATATATATATATATATATGCATAACCGAAATTACTAATCGAATCAACAATATACATTTCTTGAGATTTGAATCCATGCATTATAGGAGAAAGCTAGTTGCATATTTCGCAAATAGACCTAGCGAGATATGGTCAGTCGATTCTGTCTACAAAGAACTAGAGCTTATATATAATATGTTGACTGAAATGAGTTATCCATAAGGTTTCTCGAAAAAAAACACTTGCATGTATCAAACAAGAAAGTAGAGTTATCAACAGCTAGTAATAAACCTCTCTTCTTGAAGCTGCGATTCGACTGAGGTATTGTTGGCGATGTACTACAAGAAAGACTGAATGTAGCATTTAGGAGAATGTTCAGTGCAGCTAAAATCTGTCTATAACACTCGACTTGTTAGCCAATGGTGATTTCACATGTCTTTGTATTCATAATAAATTTGTAGCACCTTCATCTTTCCCTTGGCTTTAATAAATGATTTCCTTTATTATTTTTATTTTTCATATGCTTTGTGAGTTTGTTTTTCTTCGCTCCCTCACACCTATATATTCTCTTCCCAAATATGCGCTTCATTGTCCAATTATCTATACGCTTCTTATAATTTTGTTGAATGTTATTTCAGTGGCTATATTGTTTTAATCATTGATCTAATTCCCATCATGAAACATGGATACAAGCCTTTATTATTCTTACCACAACTAATATATTTATCATCACACTACCAATTTGTACTCTTTAATTAATATCTTTATTAATGTGATCTATTCCACTGTTATCACTGGATCATAAACTGCCTTGAATGGTTTAATAATTTCGTATATACATGAGAATCTATTAGAAAACAATATTGTTGTGGAATAGTGGAGAATATTTGTAGCTCAGGTGGATGATTTGGATGGAGTTTCGTTTGCTCAACCGGATGTTATGGTCGTTGAGCTTCCAACGTTTTCCGCAACGTTTTCTCGACCGTTATAAGATCCTTGATTCTATAAAAGCCAGAAGCCGTATATTAGATTTGTATGTTAAAATAATGGTCATAGAACAGCAAGAGGATCCCCACAGCTGATTAGACGGATGTAAGTTGTTGATGAAGGACTGAAATGAAAACACACTGTTCGTCATTCGTCAATTTTAATGTCAGAGAAGGTTACTGGTCTGTGGTTCGAAGAAATGTGCGTCACAGTCGTATGTGTAATTCCCTGCCATGCGATAACCATTCGTCCATATGAAGGTTAACTGAAACCGTCTGAAATATGCTAATTTTAGGGACAGTGGCATTCAGTATTGTATTCTTCATTGACCAATGTTACAGGAAGCTTTTCAATCCACAAGATGTTTTGAACATGCATCATGAAGTGTTCTTATGAGCCGATCTCCCAGGTAAGCAATGTGCCAAAAAGAAAATTGTGAATGGTAGGTGACGAAACCAAACTGAAAGCCCATGTCGCGTCTCTTGTTGAGTTTTGTAATTATCATATCCATGAAGAAAAAGGTCTTCAATACGTTCGGATTTCAAATATGAAGTAAGAGTCTAGCCTTTTTTTATGAGGTCACTGTGGCGAATTCAGGAAATATGGAAATGGAAAACCCTGGAGGAGAAGTGATTCAGGAGTTGGCACCAAGAGACTGACATCATCATTCCATCTATATTTTGTGTATTTTCAGTGACAATTCATTCATGATGGTGTACAATGTTAACCATCCATCAATTAGTTTTACAGTTGCTACTGTTTCATTTCGTATTTCATTCTCAAATCGACATCATTTTTATGTTGTCGAAAAACTAGCTGACAAAATTCTGTGATTCTGAGAAACCAATCACTGTGGGATAATGAGTACACATTCATGAATGATAAGTAGTAAAAATTGTATTGCCTGTAGTTTAGGTAATACTAAATTGTACAAACTGGAACTAATGATAATGTAGTTGAATGCTTGACAAGGTAGTTACAATCTTTCCGTGCAACTAATAGGTTGTATTAGTTAGACATGATTCCCGGTATGTGTGCATCATATCCGTTTCATAGAAGATGCGCACTACTAAGAATAAATGCGCAGTATTCAAGGAGTGGTCGAACACAAACTTTGTACATTGAAATACGTGGTTCATTGTTAAAAAGGTTTCGACTTCATCTGCGTACATAAGGAATATACCAACACAAAAGCACTCACCAATATAATTGATGAAATCTATAAAGAGCAAAAGGGCTTAAGACACTACCTTGTATTACACCATTTCTAACAAGGACAGCGTTCGACAATGAAGAGTTGATTTTAACTGTTTGATGTCGGTTGCTGAGGAAGGAATCAAACCAAAGAAGCAAAGGGTTTTGGACCCCATAAGATGAGAGTTTACCTATGAGAAGTCGGTGGTTGACCATGTCGAAGGCCTTAGAAATTTCCAGGTATAACATTCATACTACATAACCTAGGCTACCAAGAGAATAAGCTAAATTAAAGAAGTCAAAGTGACATGTCATACTAGATCGATTTTTAAAAAATCCATATAAATTTTTCAGTCAATAAATAGTTGGATAGTTTGTCACTAATAATTTTTTCCATAATCCTGAGATAACTGGTGTAATATTTATCAGCCGATAGATGTTGATGTCATTCATATCTCCAGATTTGCAAAGTGGTATGATGTACGCGGTTTTCCAACAGTCAGGATAAGAGCCTGATTCCATAGAGAGAGTAAACAGCTTAAGGAGAAGAAGT